TGAGTTATAAAGTCCAGCGGGGCCGGCTTCCTGCGGCGCGGCGCGGGGGCAGCGCAGCCGCGTGCCCGGCTCGCCGCCCTGCCCGAGGATGCTCTGCGCGGGGCCCCGGCGCGGCGCCCGCCGGCGTGCGGGCTGTTCCTGCGGCACCGCGCCGGCTGCCAGGGCGCTGCCATCTGCGCCCGCGGGCAGCCGCGATGCGCTGCGTTGCGCCGCCTGATCCCACATGCCAGGCCGTGCGGAGCATCGGCGCAGCGAAGGGGCCCCGACACCCCCGGCTGCCCTGTTTTCCAGTGCAGGAAGGAAGCGCGGGGCGGGTGGYTCCATCGCCGCCTGCCAGGTTTCCTGCGCAGGGATAACGGGAATGTGGCGCCGCTCGGCACGCGGCCGCCCGCCACATCGCTCCCTGATTAGGGGCTGCCCGCAGCTCCTCGGCCCCGTGCTGGGTCTGCATGCGCCGGCTGCGGCCTCCCGCAATCCCGGCCTCRCCAGCAGCCCTCGCTGAGCCGGGCGGCCGCCCCGGTGGCTCCCGGGGGACRCCGTGACCTTGCCCTATGTCCTCGCCTCTCTGTCCCCGCAGAGCCCCAGCCCTGCCAGGGGCATCACAGGGTGCTCGGAGCCGCACGCGGCTGCCGCTGCCCGGGCTGGAGCGGAGTGGGCGCCGGGGCCGGGCGGGCAGCCCGCGGTGCCAGCGCAGAGCCCGGCCACTCAAACGGCCCTTTGTTCTGCCGGCTGCACAAAGGGCCCCAGTGCGGCCCGGCCGGGGGAAGGGCAGCGTGGCCGGGCAGGGGGACCCGCTGCRGGGGCCGCGGCACCTGCCCTGCTCCCCGACGGGCCCTGGTGCCCGTGGGCCCGGCAGCTCCGCGGGGCCCGGCACCTCCGGGCCCCCCTTGCACCCGCCCACGCCTTGGCTGCGCTCGCCCGGATCCCTCGGGTTGCTAAGGGAAACCTCCGGGTTTTCCCTAGCGATGGGTGCCGGTCGCTAGGGAAACCTTCGGGTTTCCGTGGCAACTGATCCCCCCGGCCCCGGCTCCCATGGGGGCAAAGGAGGGCGTGGGGGGCGGCTCCCCGTGACCCCCGCTCCCCGTGCCCTGCAGACCCCGGCTGGGCCTCCATCAACCGCGGCGTGCTCATCTGCGACGAGTGCTGCAGCGTGCACCGCAGCCTGGGCCGCCACATCTCCATCGTCAAGCACCTGCGCCACAGCCCCTGGCCCGCCACCCTGCTCCAGGTGGGTGCCGGGACCACCCCCACGGCCCCGGCCGTGAGCCCCGCCGCCGGGAGCATCCGTGGCGCTCAGCCTTTCCCCCCRCAGATGGTGCACACCTTGGCCAGCAACGGCGCCAACTCCATCTGGGAGCACTCGCTGCTGGACCCGGCGCAGGTGCAGAGCGGCCGCCGCAAGGCCAACCCGCAGGACAAAGTGCAGTGAGTGCCCGCGCTGCGCGGGGAGGGGGCTGCGCGCCCCCCCCGGCCCGGGCCCCCTCCCCAGCCCCACGCCGTGTCCCCCCTCCCCGCCACGCAGCCCCACCAAGTCGGAGTTCATCCGCGCCAAGTACCAGATGCTGGCGTTCGTGCACAAGCTGCCCTGCCGGGACGACGACGGCGTCACCGCCAAGGACCTCAGCAAGGTGGCACGGGCCGGGGGGGGCACAAGGACCTCAGCAGGGGCCACGGGGGGAGCCCTGGAGCCCCCTGGGCTCACGCAGCCTCCCCCGTCCCGCAGCAACTGCACTCGAGCGTGCGCACGGGCAACCTGGAGACCTGCCTGCGGCTGCTCTCGCTGGGCGCCCAGGCCAACTTCTTCCACCCGGTGAGAGCCCCCTGCGCCCGGGGACAAGGGGGGTGGCGGCGGGGGGTGGCGGTGCCCCCCCGGGGGCCGGCGCGGGTGCCGCCGGCGCGCGCTGACCCCGCGGCGCGCAGGAGAAGGGCACGACGCCGCTGCACGTGGCCG